CACCAGGCACACCAACAAAAGGATGGAAATTATTCCCAAGCTCTGGTGTATATGGTGCGTTCACTGTGCTAAAGGAGAGGTTGGTGTGTTCAGTGAGACACTGGGAGAGGAAGAGCAGCACCGGGACAACGCCATGAAGCCCCAACAATAGCTTCCGACTGACGGGTGTATGCAGCTGTACGCGCTCCAAGCGGAACTCCCGTCAGTTTCAGTGGCATTCAACCGCGCATTCCTGGCATACTGTCATTCAAACCAAGATGCAAGACTGCAAAGTTAATATGGACTGTGTGTGCTGGCTCTGGACCAAGTTTCAGTGTGATGCTTGGCCCACGTGCTGCTTTGTCGAGTCTGCACACCCTAAATCAAAGAAAAACACACACACACACACACACGCACACAAAGACAAAAAAAAAAACAAAAAAAAAACACATCTTGAAGTGTGAAAGGATGAGCTTTGCTTTGAAACATACTTTCACATCTACAACTGGTATTTCTACAAATTATGTGGACGCAGTCAAGATGTTTGAAAATGTGTATAAATATCCTACTTTGTAAAATTTATTCAGATGAATGACATCTAAAGAGTTCCAGAAACATCAGCACGACATTTTTAGTTTTAGTAGTGCTAAACCGCAACGCTCAGAGGACATGTGGCTAAACATAACCTGCTTGCGTCATAAGCAATTTACTGAGTTGATATTTTTAAGTTGCTATTAATAATATTCTAAGTAAAACAAACAACAAAAAAAAACCTTTGCCCTAACTAGACATGCAAAATATGAAGCAGCAAGACGGGGCCGAACAAAACGAGCAGGGATAAAATAAGACGGGAAACCCCCTCAGTTTGGGGCAATAAAAGAGTAGCGCTCCTCTCTGGGAGATTAAATATGAACAGAACAAAACAAAACGAGGGCTTTGAGACCCTCCGAGTCCTAGCCATTCTTTTGGCCGCAGTAGCCTAGCAACCGCTGCTTGACCAGTCCATTGTGTAAACGTATGTTAAGCTTTTATCCCTCATTAGCAACATTCCTCCCTGCAGGCTGGGATTTTACAGATTAGGTTGAAAAACACAATGGAGAATGGACAAATCTTGCTGACTTCCAACATATTACTTTACAGGCTAATCATTGATCAAACAGCTGCGCGTTTGTCTGCGTGTAGCGTGCGTGCATCCAGAGTTGATAAATGACGGGCAAAGCGAGTCAAGCAAAGTTTTTCAAGCTTTGTTCTTCTACATCTGTATGTGTACACACCTGGCCATATCCAGGTTTATAATGCAGGCAAAACACAAATAACGCAATGTGATTTTAGTAGAGGTTGAACCCTTATTGTAGTAACCCTAACCCCCCACAGAGATTAATCTCTTTTCTATTATCTTTTTAGTTATTTAAAGCCAAAACAAACAGGCAAGCCTGCAGCAGTAGATGCAACATCTCCTCTGAGCTTCGTTATTATATATTTTGTTGTTGTTGCTTTACTGGGAAAACAACTCAACACACTGCAGGGTGCCACTGGAGTGCTTGTGTGTCATAAAGAGGCTTTTGTGAACCAACTGTCCTGCTTCTGACCAAACACACACACACAAACACACAAACACACACGCACACACAGAGCTTCGTTCGCAGTCTTTAGATAGCACTCAGTGTTGGCTACACTATCTCCAGACTTCTGACCCTGAAACAATCTTCTGTGTGCAGGTCTTCACTCTGCTGTTGACAGGAATCAGTCTCCATCGTTCTCGAAAATGTGTGGGAAAAACTAAGTGTTTCAAATGGACACGTTTCTTATCAGGTTTTTTTTTTTTTTTTTTACTCGTGAAGTTTGAGAGTAAAGAAGGTTGTGAAGGATCTTCCATGGCCTCTATATTAAGTGCTCTCTGTTGGAGCTTAGGTTTCCACCGTTTCACAGAGAGGTGACATGGCAAATATAGCAATTTGTGTTTGCCGCACTCTGCCTGTTTGGGGGAAGTGTGTTTGCGTATGTCAACCAAACATCCGATTAGCGGCAACAGTCTACACAACCTCAACTGTTAAATCCTTCTGCTCCATCTGGTTCATATTTAAACCAGAAATCTTAATCTAAACTAATACAACATCTGGACTTGGCCTCTCTGACACTGAAATGACCAAAGGTAAAAATATTTGTAGAGGCAACTCTATAAACTAATGATCCTGCTAGAAATTAGCCAGTTGGTTGCACAGCAACTAAAAATTTGTTGTTAAAAAAGAAAAAAACAAAAGCAATCAGTAAATACGCCACACTGCCACGAGGTCGCCATAGCAACACCACTCATTGGTGTGGAAGTTGTTAAAAAGTGAAGACCACTTTACTTTCAGTGTTATCAAGGTTTTAAATAAGAAGTTGCTACAGTAGTGAGAGTCATTGGATAACTGGAAGTTAATTTGTTTTAATCCCTTGACGATACCAGATCCATCTTCTCAATCCTTTGGACTCTCACTGGTAGGGTTCGGATCCACCAACCAAGTAATCCTAGCTGCAATAATCCCGCTAATTGCTAATATAAGATGTTAAAGATAACAACATGCTGTCCAGAGAAAGATATAAAAACACTGACAGAGGAGACAGCTGATCAGACACGTGAGGTAAATGTTAGNCCNATCGAAACTTATTCCTCAAATGTGTTTCCAGATCCCATTTATCTCATTGACTTTTTAACCAGAAAAGCCAAAAACCACCTTTCTCAAAAACGTATTTCAAATTTAGCCGTTTTCATCAACCTTTCCTGATGCGATACTTCAAAATATGCATGAAAAAACATGGATGGAAACACAGTTTATGGACTCATTTGTCTCTGGTGTTTTATTCCGTATTTATAAATAGTTAAAGGGAGATAATGCCAGAAATTATTATTGAGGGTCCTTTTTGACTTTTTTTTTTTTGTCATGGCTTAACTATAAGGGACTGCACAAAAAACCTCGTTGGTCATAGGATCCTCCACATTAGTGCAACCCGATCTCTTTCAAATCCAGCAAGAAAGTCTTAACCTCAAGCGCTCGGACAGTCTGGTATGTGTACATTTCACAGGTTTTGTCCCGGCATTCACACGTCGACTCCCACAGCTGGAGATAAACAGAGATCGCTACGCCACAGCTGCTCCCCACATGGCCCCGGGCTGATGGGAGCCTCCGATCACAAAAGGGAGAGAAATGGTGTTTAGGGTCACATTACACACATAAACACACCTGAGCTGAAGCAAGTGGCCTGTGTCTCTGGCTAGGTGACCCAACCCCCCCCCCCCACCTTTTTTTTTCACTTCCAGTCCCTTTCCATTCATTATTCAGTCCTGGGAAACTAAAGTTTGCTGGCCTCTTATCAATTACCAGAACTGGAACAGTAGGCCTGCTGCTACTCTGTGAACCAAAATCAAGCGACATGAGCCTGTCATGGATGAGAAAGTCTCACAGTATCGAGCCTGTTCCTACTTACTAAATCACCGGCTTTGTACAATTACTCAGTTATTATGCACATGCTAACGCTTTCTGTACCTTTTTCCTCTCCGTGCCTGTTAAGCACACGTGGCTGGTAAATCACAGACTTTATTTGAACAACATTTCAGCTTTAGGCGGAGAGGGGGCTGGGAAAGTGAATCTGTGTGTTTTGAAGCATAAGGGGGTCTCGGAGCAGGCAAAGTGGCCCAGCTGGGTAAACTCTTCACTTTAGTTCACATCCTCTCGATGGCTTCATCCCCTCCTCCTCTCCACTTTGTTGCATTTTCAACCTATGCAGAGTAAAAGGCCTGGACTGGTCAAGTACTGCGGTGAAACATGTGAATTACGGGTTTGCAGTAGCTTCATTTGACACTGGTGTAACAGCACTGGGTGAGGTGAGATGTTTTAAAGCTAAACATTTCCAAATGTCCAATTTAATCAATTTTGATGTCTTGCTAAGGAGCCTTTAGCCTTGAAATCTTTATTTGTATTGTGAAAAGTTATAAACAGAATGCATTCTGGGCATTTTAATAGGTTATAGATCGACAAAGCATATCTCATAATCAAGTGAAAAGTGCATGGTTATATTTTCTCTGTTGTTTTTAACAAATAAAAATGAATGAAAAAATGTGTTGTGCATATCTATTCAAACCCCTGGGTCAGCACTTTGTGGAACCACTGCTCTCTACAACCACAACTGCAAGTCTTTTATGAAATGCCTCAAAAAGTTTTAGATGTTTTTGAACAGTTCCCTCTGAACAAAAACATCCCCACGGCATGATGCTGCCACCACCGTGTTTCATACTGATAAATTCTCCCACCTGAGCTGTGCATCACTGGAGCTCCTCTGAACTGAACTGTACTGTTCACTTTTGTAAAAGCCTAAACAGAGCAGCTTTGTTTACACTGACGTTAAGTTACCCAAAGGTAGTTGGCATTTTGCCCGTGTGACATTCAGTATCTTTACAGTTTTCTTAAAATCTTACTCAACTTTGTCAAGTATGAAGTAATGCCATGAACCGCAGGAGGTCTTATACCCACCAGAGAAATGCTTCGGAGTGGTCAACTCACCCAAACAAGGATCAGATCAGAAAATGGCAATACATTAAAACATATGTTAGGTTTCTGCTTTTTGTGATTGTTATGAGATATATTTAACTATGATGAAAAAGAAATGGATGGACCATCTTCTTAAAGTACATTGGCACAAAATAAGAGCAAAAAGAAATAAAAAACACACACACAACACAAGGACATGCTATTTATTGATTATGTGACTTCTGGGATAAATTGTTTTTTCTTTATTTATTTGGGGGGATTTGAGTACATGGGTGTGAATAGAAATGCTGCTAAATAATAAATTCGATTTTGATAGATATGCTTATTTATTTGAAAAGTATACTCCATTTACTTCACAGTAAAGCTACTTTGTTCTGGTCCCCTAAATAAAATTCTAATCTGCAAGGCCTTTGCTAAAACTTTACAAAAGACACACACACACACACACACACACACACACACACACACACACACAGTCAAATCTTTGCTTACTGTTACTGGACTTCAGGTCCCGATGGATGATGGGTACCACGGCCTCCTCGTGCAGATAGAGCATCCCGCGTGCGATCTGCACTGCCCAGTTGACCAGGATGTGTGGCGGGATACGCCTTCCAGTCAGCGCCCGGTTCAGCGTCCCGCCTCGGGCATACTCCATCACCAGGCACAGGTTGGGCTCTTCCAAGCACACCCCCTCCAGTTTGATGATGTTGGGATGCTGCAGCATTGAAAACAGCTTGGCCTCCTGCTTGACGCTGGCGGCGGTGGCCGTGATGTCCTCATCCGGGTCTTGCCGTGCCGCTTTCACCGCGACCTCCTGATCTTTCCATGTTCCCCGGTAGACTTTGCCAAAGCCACCCACGCCAATGATTTCCTCCAGCACCAGTTCACTGAAGGGAATCTGAGTGGGCGAGCTGGGCACTTGCTCCGACACCCCCGCCGACCCACTGGTTGCGGGAATACGGTAAATAGCGGGCTGGTACGTGACGTAATTAGAAGGGAAAATCCCGACCCGGTGGTTCAGCTTGCCCGTCCACCATCCTTCGTCCCCGGAGATCGCAGCGTCCTTGGACAGGACCTCGACCACGTCCCCTCTCCTGAGGCTGAGCTCGTCCTCGCCGCTTGCCTCGTAGTCGTACGCGGCGGTCCACAGGGACCGAGTGGGACACAGCGGAGCAGAGTGAGCCCACGACCGGACAGTCGGGCACTCTGTCCAGGCATGCTCCCCGGTCCCACCGCCGCCCGGCCGCCCTTCACCGTTTGGGGAAGCGGCCTGCGAGACATCCATTTCTCGGTGGCCCTAGCGGCACCATAGGGTGCAGAGCTTATAGAACTAAAAGAAAAAAAAAATTAAAACTTTAAAATATAACTTTTAAATATACTCATAATGTCACTTTAGCGAGGTGAATCCCCTCAGCAGCACCCAGGAAAGTCAAATCGTGTCCAAAGTCCTGTGAGAGAGGCAGCCTACAAGCGTGTATCCACGTCGCCACTCCGATAGAAGTATGATGGTCAATGAGCAACCCAGCGAGGCTGCTCGCTAAGATTAGCCGAAATACGGCTTAGCAAACACCAGCGCTTCATGGGCTGACGCCTGAGACTTATTAAAAGCGACCAATACGCCATGAATTGCGTATATAATATTTGTAAGTCAACTAAGTAACGACGAGATACCAAAATGTCCTGTGAGAAAACTAAAGTTAGCCTTAAACAGATGGAGCAAAGTTACCAAGTTTCCGCAGGTGCCGCAAGAGGTGCACCTGCACCGTCCGACCCGAGGAGAAACACAGAGCCTCCCCGGGGCTGGTGTCCCGTCCAAACTCGCAGGTAAATAGTTCGAAGCAGTCGAGTTGAGGAATGTAAAGTTTGCCTGCTGGTTTGTGGACTTTAAGGACAAACCCCGGCTGCATTCCAGACTCCTGGCTAGCGGGCTAGCTTAGCATAGGTCAGCCCGTTGGTTAGTTGGTTGGTTGGTTGTTTTGGGAAAAGTTGCCCCTCTTTTAAAACCGCTTCATCCACAGTCTCTCCTCCGAGTGGGGGAAAGAAAACCCGTGAGTAAAATGAAAAGCGCACAAAACATCTTAAGAGATAAACTTCTTATTAAGACGCGGACAGAAACATAAAAGAACAATCCCACAAACTTTAACCAAAACAATCCCTCCCCCGACCGCCACTGCTGTCGCTTAGCGGAGTGGGTCGCAGCAGAGGCTGGCTGGATCTGAGGACTGCTGCTGTCCGGGCTGGCTCTGGTGAACGCTGATTGGTGGACGGGGTGACACGTGACGAGCGCAGCAGTTGGAGTGGAGGAAGGAGGAGCCACTGTAGGAATGTCTGTGGAGAGCGCGCTTTCATGGAAATTATTGGAATAGTCAACCATAAAAACCCCCATCCACTCCGACACACATGCCCATTGAAACTGTTGATACTCAGCCACAGCTTTAAACTGCAGCCCATAAATTTGAATCCATATTTAATGTATTAAAATATATTAAATTTCAACACTTTATGCTTAACTATTGCATCCACATCCATACATATCAAATCATGCTTGGTATGGTGTGGTATGCATTATGCGATTTAACTGATTTCTCCATTAAAACCGCTTGAGGAGTGAGATTATGGCAAGCTCATTTTGCATATTGTCACCATCCTAAAATAATAAAAGTCCTAAATCGCCATCCCTTTCTTGCCAAAAGAGATGTTTTAAGCAAGGAAGAAAAAGAAGGGGGGAGCAAAAAAAAAAAAAAAAAAAAAAAATCACTTTTGGCAAAAAAAAAAGAAAAAGAAAAAAGTATTCTGGCCTTTTTTTTGGAAGTTGACAATTGCAAGGCTATTAAAAAAAATCTATGTTTTTAAATATAAGTTTTGCTAATTTCATGAAAATCACTTAAATTAAAATTAAAGTACAAAAAGTATTTCTCTTTAATTAACCAATTTAAAATAGGATCACAGCCAAATAAAAGGTCACACTTTAAATTTTTATTTTTTAAATGAAACGGCGTTTTAAACACCGAGTATAAGCACCAAGTATTAAGCACTCACACAAGAAGAAAAGGTTTGTCATCACAAAAATAATAAGATAAATGTTGTTATCTCAACATAATGTGATAAGAAATTTATTTTTATGCATGGGAGCGCTTGAGCTTTTGAGTGATAAGAACGCCATTTTGACAAGACAGGAATGCTAACAGTTGCCTTGTGAAGTGTAGATAGGAATACTGTTTGATTATGTGACTCGACGTCCTGCCATACCGCCTCACATCCCGAGCAACGAAGGTGGGACTCATAATAAAAACGACGGAGAGGGGAGGAGAAGGAGAAGAAGGGAGGGGGCTGTCAGTGCTACGCATCTGTAGGAGCGGAGGAGAGGGAGGAAGGGGACAGCCGAGCAGGTCAAGATGAGATCCGCGGAAGCAGCGGCGGACAAACGAGAGGACCCCGTCGAGAGAGACCGAGGATGAGAGAGAGGGCTCCGGGAGCACTGCTGCATCGCTCCAACATGGAGGCGCAGTGACAGCAGCTCACGTTAGAGGAGATCATCTCGTCGTAGCCTTGCAGCATCATCGTCCCCATCACCGTCCGTCCAGAAAGCCGAGCGGAGAGGAGGAGACATGGGCTCCCACGTTGTGCAGACCCTGCGTCAGGGACTGTGGGCATCTCTGACCGGCGGCTGGTACCACGACCCGGACCAGAACAAATTCAACAACTCCTGCCACCTCTATCTGTGGATATTCCTTCTGATGCTCCCCCTGTCTCTGCATCTGGTGAGCTTTTCGTGAGGGGATCGTGATGTTCAAGGCCGCGAAGGTTGCTGCGAGGTGTGTGTGTAGCAGTGTATGTGTGTGTGTAGCAGTGTGTTCATGCGCCCGTTTACTCCGCGTTGGATGAACAACCGAGGGATCTGCAGGTATGTGATGTCGCTCGCTGCAGCGCCCAGAGATTGCGAGGATCGCGGGTGGATGAAAAAAAACAACAACAACAACAACAACAACAAAAAATCGGGCAATGTCGCACTGTTTTTCCCTGCATGTAACGCATGGCTGCTCCAGGATCTGACAGCAGTGAAGAAACTGTGTTCATGATGATGGTGATGATGATGATGAGTGCAACACAGGCTCCATCAGTTATGATTATTTTGGTAAAAAGCATTTTACTTATATATCTGTTATTTGCCTTTATTTTCTGATTTCAAACATAACAAATATGCTGCTACCCCCTTAACTGAAGGTTGATAACATTATATTACTAAACGATACTAAAGTGAATCATTTGGCTCTCTGCATGCAACATCATGTAAAATCCAAGCTGCTCTAATAATAGCTGCCAGTCTTTTAGAGAACGTCTCTGCACACCCAGAGGCTGCTTTAAATAGCTCAAACTCACTCAGATTGAATGGAGAGCATTTGTCAACTTTAACTGTGAAGTCCTGCCACAGAGGATGTGTTTGACGAAGGTCTGGGCTTTGACAGAGCCATTCTTACACAAAAATATGCTTCGATGCAACAAAGCGCTGGTTGGTCTTTCCCCTGTTTATGAAATGTACACCCAGTTGCACTAAACATGCCACCATCATGTTTCACAGGGCAGAATCTGCGTTTCAGCACCACCTATAGCGTTTTGCATAGGCAAAAGGTAAAAAAGTAAAATAAAAACGACTTCTGTCAACTTTCTTTTTTTCTTTTTTTTTTTTTCTTTTAGAGTTTTAGCATCTTGGTCACTTGGTCTTGCAGACTCAAAAATTTGCATGACCAAGTGTTCAATATGTTTTTGTCACTAATTTCAGAAAGTGAAAGTTGTGGTTATGGCTTACAGATAGTGAAAACCCAAAATCCACTGTCTCAGAATATTTGAATATTACATGGGATCCATTTTGGAGTCGCGATTTTAATGTCGGAATGTTTTTTTGTGAACATTTGACCATCTACACCATCATGGGTATGTCTGCTGACTTGACAAATGTCCAGAAGACATTTATCGACACCCTCCACAAGTAGGGTAAGCATGGTTGCTCGCAGAGTGCTGCATACAAGCATTTTTATAGAAAGTTCAGTGGAAGGAAAACGTACGGTAGGAAACTGTGCTCTACAAACAGGGAGGATTGTTGAGCAAAATCTATTTGAGTACTTGAAGAAGCTTCTCGAATTGAATAGATGCCAGCATCATGAGCCACGACTCTTAGACAAATCCTACTTATGATGTGCAAATTTTGCATTTCTTATGGCAAGCCAGTCCTGAACCAGAGATGTCAGAAGAGTCTTCTATGGGACAAGGAGAAAAAAGGAGCACACTTTTTCTGAATCCTGACATTCCTGTTTAAAATATCCATTTTTTTAATGGAGCGCATGAAACAATGAGCCATAATAATCAAACCTGGAGAAATAAAAGCTCGGCATATTTCAGTTCATGTGTAATAAATATGATATACAAGTTTTCTGAAATAAGAAAAAAAATGTCAATGAAATATGGTGCTATTTAAAATTTTCCATGTGTATGTATGTATGTATGTTAAGTGTGCACATGGTACAAAACGTAAGTCTGCCTAAAATTAGCTACATTTGTTATTAGCAAACAGAATTTGAACACATACACATGGCACCTGAAATATCAGACCCTACGATGAAAAAATGTTTCTTTGAACCGTCTTGACAAATACTCTTCCTTTGTTGGAGTTAATTTTACTAGTTTTGCTCAAACTATAATTCTGTCTTGAATCATTTCTGAATCGTAGCTTGAGTAAAGCTAACAAAATCAGAGTCATTTTTAAAAACATTTGCTTCAGAGTGCTGCATCCAGTGAAGCATTTGGTTCACTCAACCTGTGATAGTGATTGTAATTTGATCAATCGTGCAGCTCTACTATCCGTCACCAATTGCTTACTTCTTCCTCTCCCATGAAGGCCGAATTTATTGAGTGTACGGCTAAAAGTTGCCCCGTCAGCAGATTCTGTCATCTGAACCGTGGATCTGTGCAGACGATCAAAGCCTGCGGGTTGCTGTTTTAAAACCTAACTTTGTTTTAAACTTCACTTAAACAGTGTATCCCTGATCTGTCTGTGTCCCTTGGGCTTTGTGAGGCTGTTTTGTTCAAGAATACTCTCCAACAAACCTGGGAGGCATTCGCAGAAAAGTTGGATTTAGACTGAGATTAAATCACACAGAATCGGTTAGATTTTGTTGATCAGGGTAAAAGGTTTCTGAATCCCAATGGACAGCACATGACCTGCTTTCTGTTCTGGTCTACCGCATCAAATGCTAATCAAATACACTGATGTTCGTGGTTATAAAATACATGATACATATTTTTTGCAAGGCACTGTACTGACATCCATTGTGTGCCTGCCAGAAGTCTTGCACATGAAGCTTGACTCATCTATTCAGACGAGCTTCTTTTTTTTTTGCCCTCAGCTTTCAACCTCCGTGAGAGAAATAAACTGCAATAATTCTCCCCATACCTCATATATATTACATCCTGATCTTCACAGCATAAACTTCAAGTCTTTAACATCTCCTTGCGTTCTCTTGCAGGCCCTGCCTCCTACCACCATGGCCCTGAGCATCTACTGCACCTCCATCACCGTCTTCTTCATCCTCATCAAGCTGGCCAACCACCGGCTGCACTTGATGTTCGACGAGGGCGAGGCGGTGGTCCGCAGCAGCCTCTCGGACCTCAGAAAGGCCCAGGAGAAGAAGAGCAACGCCTCAGACTCCTGCCAGCCGGCGAGCATCAGGTATGAGCGGGGAGGTCAGTCAGAAGTTGTAGAAAAACACGAGATTCCTGTCCAGCGATCCAGCCTTTCTATGGCCTCTGTGGATGAAGCTGCAGGTCTGTCTGGATGATAAATGTGGAACCTACACCAGGAGATTCAATCTCAGATGATGCACAAAAATATACTTTCAGCCTTTAATTCTCAGTTTGCATTTATTTTTTTTTTTCCTCAGCACTGTCTGTCTTTCAAATCGAATTGGCTTCATGATCGAGTGTCTAAGAGTGGAATACACACTCTCTCACTTTGTCTCAAGAGCCTCAGCGCAGCTTCGGCGAATGTCTGAACTAATTTCAGTGATTTTCGGTCAGCCTGTCTTGCTGAGACGTGCGCTCTCTGAGCAGAGCCTAATAAAAGGAAATCCATCACTTCTTTCACTCCTTCTTCTTCTTCTTCTCTGTATGATGTATTCAGATGAGATGAAACAAGCCAAGACGCAAACAGCTTCAGCCTCAACAATGATTTGTCCATTTTAGCATTCACGTGATTTTCTCTCAAAGCGAAGCAGTGATTTATGAACTTCCACCCGAGTCCTCACTGTCTCACTTCTTCCCGTTCTCCCCGAGCAGAAAGAGCAGCACGCTCCCCGACAGCGTCGCTATGACAACTCTGGCCCGCAAACGTCCCAGCCCGGTGATCCAGGTGACGCTGAAGCAGACGGAGACCGACCCGGGACTAATCGGGGTGGTAAGATGGACTTGCACATGGATGAAGTCACCGCCGTGTTGACCCTTTTTTTTTTTTTTACAACCTTGACTTGTTGTTTGTGAACTGTTCTCCATACAGGACTGCTCAAAGTCAGACGAGAGGAAATCTGCAGAAGGTAGCGGCCATCTTTCTTTAGGTTTGAACACACAGATCTGCAACACTTACAGGAATTAAAGTCAAACATAAAACATACTGTGGTGAATTTTTTTGGA